CCACATGGTGGTTCACAACCATCTGTAATGAGGTCTGATGCCCTCTTCTGGCCTGCAGACATACACACAGACAGAATATTGTATGCATAATAAATAAATAAAATATTTAAAATTTATTTTAACAAAAAAAAAACAGTGGGTGGAGCAGCTTCATGCTTCAGGGTGCACAGAGGAATGAAATGGCCTCTGGGTTCCATCCCCCTCTGCTTTTGCCTGTGTTTTAATATCGAAACTCCAGCTAAGCTGTTGTTTTAAAGGGTTTCCACTGATTAAAAACCAATAATAAATTATGAGAAAATTGTCAGTTTAAACACTGCAGCCAGGCCTTCCCCTCCATTCTTCTCTCTGAAGCAGGTCAGTTTCTCTAAATAACTGTACAGTCTAGAGATTCCAGGAATTTTAGAAACATTACCTGTTTGTTTCTGTTTGGACGTGACCCATACATCCTGCCCACGTGGAGGCAGACCTTGGTAGGGTAACTTCTTAAAAGCTGTAGGAAACCCCAACTCCCACCAGGCGGAAGCCTCTGCCGCTGACTGTCCTCAGGAACAGTGCCGAGATCTTTCTGGCCCTTTTGAGTTCCCAAATGCTAAGGTTCCTTTGGAGCACTAACCCTTGCAACATCTCTGGCTAGAGCTGGGGAGGAAGCAGATCTGAGAAGCCTGGGGTGGGTAGATGCCACCCGCAGGAGCTTGTGCTCCCTGGTTTATGGAGGAGTAGGAGAGCTGAAGTCTGGCTGGCTCTACTGGGCCGGGTCACTCATAGGCCCTCCCTAGCAGGTCACCTGGAGTGTGCTCAAGAGAAGGAAGCTGTTAGACTCCATGCGTGTTATAGGTGTTCTTGGGAGGAATAAGATATAGTAGGGTCAATATGCAAAGTCCTGAACAAGTGAGGAATTGTGGTTTCCTACTTACTAGGTACAACAGAGACAGACAGACGTATCGGTGAGGACAGGAAAGGACTTACCTAGTCAGGAATTGGGCTTAGACACCTTCTATTCAGGACCGCCATCATTCCCTCTGTCTGGACTAGGATATCCAGTCTTTGTTTTGAGCCCCAGCGTCTCATGCCCACTCTGCTTCCTAATGGAGGCATTTGTTAGGACCAGGTCCTCTGCTGTCCAGGAGGAATTTAACACACTCGGAACAAGACTGCCTTGTATTTGTGTACTGTGTTCTTCTTTACAAGCTGATGAGGGAAGGGAGAAAATGATAATGGATCTTGAGGGAGTCCTGGTGGAATGATTCCACTGATTCACACCCACGATCACCAGCCAGAAGTCAGAGATCCAGGAGCCAGGCCTTGCACTGCAGCCTGTAATCCCAGCTAGAAAGGGGGCTGAGGCAGGAGGAATTCAAGTTTTAGGCCAGCCTGGCCTACGTAGCAAGTTCAAGGCCATTTGCTAAGACCCTGTCTCAAAATAGAAAAGAATTAGAATGGACCCCAGTGGTGGAGCATTTGTACTCTGTAAGAATATGCATTTTGGGGCTGGAGAGATGGCGCAGAGGTTAAGAGCACTGGCTGCTCTTCCAGAGGTCCTGAGTTCAATTCCCAGCAACCACATGGTGGCTCACGACCATCTGTAATGAGATCTGGTGCCCTCTTCTGGTGTGCGGGCATATATCGAGGCAGAATGTTGTATACATAATAAATAAATCTTTAAAAAAAAAAAGAATATGCATTTTGCCTGGGATTTGTTGTTGTTTGTAGTTTGGTTTGTTGATTGCTTGGTTGGGTTGGGGGGTGGGGGGGGTTAGTACCCGTGGCCCTGAAGGTTTGTACTGTCACAACGGCAGCCGCTCTCAGAGCTTACAGTTCACCTGCTCTGCACTCAGGGCGGCTGCTCTGCCCCCCCCCCCCAGTCCTCACCTACAGATGCACGGGCCTGTCCTTAATCCTCCAGAGACACCCAGCATACTAGGCGTTCTAGTCTGATTTCTGCTGAGATAAACACCATGACCTAAAGCAACTTGGAAAGGAAAACATTTCAGCTTCTACTTCTACATAATAGTCCCGCTCTGAGGGGAGTCAGGGTGGGAACTGAAGCAGAGACTGTGGAGGAACTGTGCTTGTTGGCTTGCTCTCCGGCTTGTTCTATGCTAGCTTCCTTATACTGCTAATCCCACCCGCCTAGGGATGGTGCTGCCCACAGTGGCCCAGGCCCTCCCACACCAATCACCAGTCAAGACAGTTTCTCACCAACGGGCTCTAGGTGTCATTCTCATGGGGGCAATTCTTTAATTGAGGTTACCTTTTCCCAGGTGAGTAGGTTGTGCCAAGTTGACATTAACAAACCAAAACACTAGGTATGTGATCTTCCCCCACCAAGGCTACCCCAGAATAGGCTGGGTTTATAGAACATAGTTTTGCAACCACAAAAATCATGTGCTGGCCCTTAGGGAAGATCTTGTACATGCACTGACTTCCGGCACACGGATACGGGTGTTTGTAAAGATGCATGTGCGTGCCTCACGTACACTCTGCCAACACTGTGTGCCCAGGGATTCTCTGCCCATCCTCATTCCCTGGAGAAACTCGATTTCTGTGAGCCGCTTGCCTCCGGGACCCATAGAGGTCAAGGCCCACAAGGTTATGGGTTGGATAGTAAGGGAATGTAGCCAGGTCTCAGAGCCAAAGGGAAAATGGTATCCCGGAGTTGAAGAAGAGTAGGCAGAACCTAGTCTGTGTCCAGGGTGACCCTTCAGAGGCATGCCTACAGTCATCTGGCCATATACACAAAGGGTCACCTTAGAGACCTGAGGCTGGCTCTCTTGCTATTGGAGAGGAGCAGACAGGTATGCTGAACAAGCTGTTAGCATCAAGCCCACGGGTGTTCTCAAGGGCGCTCCGAGAGCCTGCCGAAGCTCATCCTCCTTCAGGGGAGTCGATCTTTTCTGAAAACAGACACATCTCTGGTCTGAAGCCAGAACCCCCTCTGTACTGACCAAGCTGCCAGAACAGCCAACCCTCCTTCCAGACTCTTCCCTGGTTACTTCTGTCCTTGGGTGCCTCTATCTAGGACATGCCATTCTCCTAGTCTTATCTCAGTGGCCACAGTTCAAGTGAGCTGTCCCTAGGGATGAAATGACTGAGGGAGACTTTTCCATGGGAATGGATGGTCTCCTCCTTTAGCATGAGCGAAAGGACACCTCCCCGTGGCTGCCGCCAGAGTGGGGAGAGGCCTGGGTATGCATTAGGTCCCAGAACTCTGTGGCAGGACTGAAGAGGTTGGCACCTCTTGGCTCATGTTATGCCACCAGTGGGCAGCTCCATCTGTCAGCCCAGAGCTGAGAGCCTGGTCTGCTGCCAGCTCAGGACCAGCTTGGGAGGGAGTCTGAGCTTCCTGGCCATTGTCTATTGGGGGCACGCCCAGTGTGTTCTGATGGTGACCTGGAGAGGCCTAGAGTGAGGCAGGAAGGGAGGGAGGGAAGAAAAAGGAGAAGGAGCTGGCCAGAACCTGCTCTGGCGGGGAGAGGGGAAGTGAGAGGGGAAGACTTGGTGTTTTTCCTTATTTGTGTTTTATATTAAAGAAAACAAATAATATCCTTTGAGAAACCCATTAAACAAAGCATATCCTGAGGTCCCAGGGGCCCATTGTGGCTGCCTGGAGCCTGGAATCCATTCACACATTTTTGGCTAGATTGTTGGAGGCTAGAAAGACCGGGAGTGGGAGGGAAGGGCCATCATTAAAATAGTTTAAAATGGCTTTTGCTCCCTGGGCTTAATAGAAGTCTGGGCCAAATAAGTATAACTCCAGGATCCCATGTCTGCCTGGCCCAGTGTCCTCCCATCACCTCTCTGGGATGCTCTAATAAACCGGCCAGTCCAAGTACAGCCAGGGCCACCAATGTCCTCCACCTTCTCCTGTGAAGGCAGCCTAAGGGAGGTCCTCTCTAGAGAGTCCTGATGAAGAGCTCTGAAGCCTCTCTCGTTGCTTGACTTCCCTGCGCCTTGATCTCCCTGACTGCCATGTGGGGCTTAGGGCCCAAGGGACCCCCTCTCCACTCCCTAGAATACCCATGGGCTCTCCCTCACCATGTTCGTGCCTGTGCAGTTTGAGAACCTGTAGGTATCTCAGGCATCCTAGGTCCCACATGAGGACTCTTCCTCTTGGCCGTCCGATCCTAGATCCCAGCTCCTCCACCCCAGCTGACCAGGACGGAATGACAGTGCTCCTGGACATGTCCCCACACGGACACATTTGCCGGCCAGGTGTGCACACCAGCTTCTGCAACTTGTTCCGCCTGGGCCTGGCATTTGGTAGGGTTGACATCACATAGAAGCAGGTCTCTCCCCAACCTTGGTGTCGATCTATAAGGACGGGACGCAAAAGCCACCCTTAGAATTTCCCCCCAGACCTTCCTTTGAAGTGGAGAAGACAATTTCGTTCTTTGCCTGTTTCCTGAGTACTTCCAAGGTAAAGGGAGGGTTGACTGCAGGGGAATTGGGGCCTAGGAGTAGGAGTCAGCTTGTCTCAAGGCTGGGCTCACTCATCTCCAATCTCTCTCTCAATGGCCACTGCAGAAGGTGGTGACATCTCTGTCTGGAGATCGGAAAAAGAACCTGTCCCCTTCCTAAAGCTATTGTCTGTACCTGACCCTTATGGGTTAGGGGGAACACTCAGCTCTCTAGCTTGGGACTCCACAGGGAAGATCCCCTACTCTTTTCATGGAACCAGCTCCTAACCGAGGAGAAGGCTAAGGAGGCATTGGTGACCTTGACTCTGCTACCTTTCTCGGCAAGACCTTGGACTGCACACTCAGCCTTGGCCCGAACAACCTCTATATTTGGATATGATGATTGCTGAGGTCTCCTTCCAGTCCCTCTATTCTTTGAGTCTGGAATCTTAGCATCCACCTTTCGTGGGAGAGTCATTCATTCCCATTTTCTGACCTGATTTGATGTTAAGAATCTAGCCTCTCATGTCCTTCACTGGGTGTTGTTATGGCAAATGGGGTCTTGGACAAAAATAATTCATGTCCTCTCTCTCCATGTCTCAGGGCTACCACCCTATGCCCCATGAAGTGGAGATCGCACATACCAAGAAGCTGTTTCGGAGGCGGAGAAACGACCGAAGGTAGGAACTACTGTTGTGGATGCTGTGGCTCTTCCCTGGGCTGGCTGCTAGGCAGATTAGCTCTGGTTTGTGCTCTGAGATAGGGCTTCCACTTGTAAATGAGATGGGCACCTTTGAGGTGATGTTGGCAGTACAGTAGGCTTGGCTATATAGCATCAGCAACTGCATTTCTGTGGTTGACCCAGGGGCTGGGTCCCTTCAGAAGACCAGCTGAGGACCACCGGCTCCACTCCTTCCTGGGAGTGAGCATTGCCTAGGATTTGCAGAAATGCTCTTTCCACTAACCAAAACTGCATGTCCTCAAAGAGCTGAGCCTGTGGGCTGAGTGTTTAGAAACGTGGCCTCCAGGAGGCTCCCCAAGCTCACAAATTCAAAGCCACTCCTCTTTCTGTCTCTCCATCACTGGGAATTGTCCTGTGTATGAGCCGCACTTTGCAATGACCTTCACAGTCCTGAGTAGTAGTATCCAAGCGACGGAAAAGCATGATGAGGTGACATACCTTGGAGCAGGCAACTGAGATCGAGCCTTCAAGAAATGCATGTATGTGTGGTCTACGAGGCTTTCTTACATGGAAAGGTTTCTTGATATTTTTTAAATGAAAATTTCCAGGTGCAAAATCCTACTGTGTGCAGCCATTTGTGCTAAAGGGGGAGTGGGTTTTTTTTTTTTTCTTTTTTGGCTTGGATGTGCAAAAATTATTTCTGGATGAAAATCTTAAAAAAGAAAGAACAAAAAGGCTTATGCTTGAGGAATTAAAATGAAGTGTTTCCCTATAGGGAATTTATTCTTAGACAACGGTGATGGCTTGTGGTTTTGCCTTTAATGAACGGCGAATGTTCTTTAAGAGATAAGAGACAGCCAGCTGACATCCTGCTCTCAGAAAGCTAGGAGCACCTGCTCTCCGTGCTGCCTGGCAACAGCTGAGGTGTTGGGCTCTGGCCAAGCTGGACCTCCGACCCCTTTGCATGGAAACCCTGAACCAGGGGTAGTAGGTGGGCAGAAATGGATGCCCAGGATGCCTGTCATTTGATAACAGATTTTTGATTTCTGAAAACATTCACAAGGAAAATGAGGCTCCAGCTAACTGGGAGGCAGGCTGTCCTGGCTAAGGTCTGGGATCAACAGCCATCAGAAGAGGAAACTGAGCCAAGAGAGCTGAACCAAGCCCTGCCCCTGCGCCTGCCAGGGTACTGTTGATTCCCGTCCTGTGCCACCTCTCTGCTCTGCATTGTTACACAGGGCAAGTTTTGGGTTCTGGGTTCTTGGGAGAGGAAAGAAATGGGGAGCTCCTCTCAAAGGAGAATGATGCCAACAAGGACCAGGAAGGAGTCAGGGAGAGCAGAGGCCTTGCCATCCTTCCTCCCCAGTGTGTGCCTTAAAGACGCCAAGACTCTCCACGCTTACAAAAGAGACGTCTTCTCTGGGCCAAAGCACTGGCATCCAGGTCAGGCCACATGTCCCTTTTTGAGCCAGGTCACCATGCTCCACAGGAGTCCTCTAGACAGGGCAGGCCTCCGGAAACAACATGACCCAGGAATGTTGGGAGGGAGTCCGCATTGCCTGGGAGGACCAGGAAGTTGGACATCCACTTACCCCTACTCATGATAGCGAGTGCTCTGGGTAGGCCAACGCACCTCACAGAGGATGTGGACCGGGCCAGCATCCAAAGAGAGGCAATAAAGATGATTAAAAGGACAAAAAGTATGTCCTGTGAGGAGGGCTGGAGGACTAGGGCCAGGGTAGAAGAAAGCGCAGCCACATGGTAAACCCATGGTAGATTTACATGGAAGGGATGAATGGCAGCTGTCGTGTTTACTGAAAGGGAGTATCTTAGCGACCAGAGTCAGACTGCCATTCAAGGTAGCAGACACACACTGCCGAAGTGGATGCTAGACAAGGGACCGGTCAGAAAGATAACACCCATTTCTCACTTGAGGGGGGAGTGTCCTGTTAGAGCCCGCACACGCACATGGTAGAGACGTTCATGAGAGAACAGGTAACGGTGTAACTGGAAGGCTTTGTTATCTAACACCAGGAGTTTCTGAGTCTCTTTTGGGAACTATGGTGATTCTGGCATTCACGGATAGGCTATGAAACATTACCAAGTCAATCCCAGTTCTCTCGCAGAGGAGCCTCCATGGTGACCTTGTTAGGGACCAAACCTAGACACTTGACACCTCTGTACTACAGGCTAGCCTTGCTAACATTTAAAGTGTAGACCACACTGAGAAAGTACCGCTGAAAGAAATGGCCAGCTTTTGTAACCAAGGAACACAGCTAGCATCTACGGAATCTCAGATCTTGCCATTTGTCATGAGAAGGGAAGTGGCAAGCTACAGCCTCCTAGTGTCCCTGTGACTCACCTTGGAATTCCTGCAGGAGTCTTTGGCCTCCTGTCTCCCTATGAAATGACTGGAATTGGGGTCTGATAGCTGCAGGCCCCATGACACATTGCTGTGCCTAGAATTGACTGGTACTTCCCAGCCAGTACAGGCATTCTCAAAACTGGTACCTGGCACCACCCCCCATCCGTGCAGAAGTCTGCCACGTGTCCTAGTCCTAGTTAGTTCTCCAGGCGTCTCTGTGTGCTTTGCTGCTTTTCTCTCCGCAGGTTCAATGTGGAGGCAGTCGGGAGCTAAATCATGTAGCAGTGTGGACATACGCCTTAGATATAGGGACTGGATTGGTGAGGTGCTCCGTTTGTTTAGAGAGTATTGTCTGAATGTATATGCGTGGAGGAATATGTACACGTGTGTGTTGGTGCCTGTAGGTACCAGAGGCATCAGATCCTCCTGGAGTTGGAGTTGCAGACAGTTGTGAGCCTCCCAGCTTGGGGGCTAGGAGCTGAGCTCCAGTCCTCTGCAAGAGCAGTAAGTGCTCTTAACTGTTGAGCCATCACTCTAGCTCCCAAGGTACTTCATTTCTTGAACATTGTGCTTTCTTTCATAAAATGCGCCCGCTACTCGAGAGGCTTGTGCAAGTTCACTCTGGTGCTCACTTGAGTGGCCCTAGTAGCAATGTGCTCTTCAGGTCAGAGGGACTTTTAGGGGCACAGAAAGCGTTCCCATATGGAGTAGTAGATCTTCTTCTCATTACTCTACCTTGAAAGTCTAGCCTCATAGGCCTGGCATCCCGGAGCCCAGGATAGTAGGTAGCTAGAGCCCCTCTCCAGAAGCAAGCTGATACTCAGCCGCCCCTTCCCACAGGCAGCTTTCAGGGGCCCTGATTAAAACTGAGCTGCAGCTGTCTTTCCCCCAGTTTGCAAAAGGATCAGCCACAGGGACAGCTTGAAGAAAGCTTGAGACTTTCCTAAGAGTTTTCTCGTATTTTGGACAAACTGATAACCACTTGCTTATTGGGGAGAAGTAATAAAATATGACAGATTTCAGACAAAATTATGCATTTTTACTGCATATGGGGGTAGAAATGGGATTAATGAATATTCCATGCATTTCCCCATAGCGGCATGGCTTTGCATGCTCCATCTCTACTGGGTTGAAAATGGGCAGTTGAGAAGGGGCTGCTGGGGGTTTATCTGCCTCCCCCTAAAGTTTTCTGCCCAAGTCCAATATCCAGGAAGAAGAAATTCCCTAAGGGACTGAAGTCCTGACTCATAGCCTCTGCTTACTTAGCGGATTCCCTCATCCCTATGGAAGAGGGAGAGTTCTGCACCCTCCTCCCACTCCCGACCCTCACTCCCCTCGCCCCTTGCTCTATTTTAAGAGATGAACATGTCACTGCGGTGAACACACTCTGCATGCCGTAGTATCTACAGCCTGGGAAACAGACTCCAGGGTGAGGGTAAACTCAGGAAGGCATGCTGTTAGGAAGGGACAAGAGGCAGCTGCAGCGGCTCAGGCAGAGAGAAGTTGAGCTCTAGGGCAGACTTCATGGCCTGTTCTGACCATGCAGGGAGTTCTGAAGTTTTAGGGACGTCTGAGTGTCGAGCTAACATAGAGAGACTGTGTAGAGCTTTGTGGGTCATGTCCCTTGATCATCATTTCCACAGCGGCAGCCAGAGGGCTGAGAGCTGTTTCTGAAAGGGATGTAGGCAGTCCATTGAGCTCCACAGTGAAGCCCTTTTGAACACCCTGCCTCAGTTACCTTTCTGTTGCTGTGACAACATGCCATGACCAAAAGCAACTTCTGAAAAGAGTGACTAGGTGCTTACCATTTCAGAGGGTGAGTCCATAATCAGCCTGGCAGAAACATGGTGGCCGAGATGGCTGTATGGTGCTAGAGGGATAGCTGAGAGCCTGGATCTGGATCCACAAGCACAAGGCATAGAGTAAGCTATTTAGGAAGTGTATGGACTTCTGAACCCTCAAAACCTGTTTCCAGCGACACCCCTCTTCTAACAAGGCCACACCTCCTAATTTTTCCCAAACAGTTCCACCACACCTGGGGACCAAGTATCCAAATATATGAGCCTATGCGGACCACTCTCATTCAAACCTCAACATCCCCCGACTAGAATTATTTTCTCCATGGTATGTTCTGTGACCTGGAGAGAGGCCCTTGTGGTCGAGGACATGAGGTGCAGCCAGCACACTGGCATTATGGGTGCAGAATTAACCAGGGTGTTGTTTATGTATGTGTAGCATCTGAGTTGTGGTTCAGAGGAGGAGGCATCATGAAGGTGTTGATGTTTGGGGAGATCCTAGACTGCTCCCCTTTTGGGGTAATGACTAAACCACTAGTGACACTCCAGAAGAATTTTAAAGGGAGTGGGAGAAAGAGGAAAAGCCACAGCTAGGTGGGTGATGGGCCAGGGATTCCTAGAAGCCACCACCATAGCTCCCTGGAAGCAGAGGCAAATAGCCCCATTTACACTGAATAGGAGGGAGAGGCCAGCCTCTTCTTGCTCTGCAGATCCTCTGCCTAGGTTGTCAAGAGTCTTAGAAGGTCCCCACAGACTCCTCAGCCTGGCCTCTCAGCAGTTAGAGTAGGGGGACTAACAGAGGCAGTAATGGTCTTTCACATGATGCCCACCTAGGCT